AATTTTAAACGTATATTTATTTTTCGATTTCTGCGCTGAGTCATCGAACCCATAAAAACCTCTGTAATTGCTTACGATTCCCAAACAAAATTCAGCAAATTTGTTTTTGTGTAATCGGAGTTTTCTGAAAGGGAACTTTCAAAAATTCGCTTAACTAGGCACATTCTGGAACTTTTGAGCCAATGCACATGGCGCATGTTCAGTTCATGACGCAGGGCATAATACCTTAAAAAAAACTGATAATATGAATAAATATATATGCATATACATATATATATATCTATCTATATGCATACATATATAAGCATATCCGATTCCCAATCACGTTCAAGGTAAATGCTGGCCAAATTAGCTAGAAAACTGACAGCAAAGCGGTTTCATGTTCAATCGAAAAAATTGACAAAAAAAAAAAAAAAAATAAAAAGAAAAGAAAATTAATAATACGAAAACAATATATTTGATATAAAGTATTATTGTACACTGTGCAAAAAGTTGGCGTTAATTCGTTCCACATTTTCAGCTATGTATTTCTAAATCTCTTGCTTTAACATGCTCAACAGTGCATTGCGCAGTCGGTTACAGCCGCTTTGTTCTTAATACGGCCAATAAAAGCGTAAACAACTTTTATAACGGTTCCTTATAAAATGTTGTGTTTGGTTTTGCTTTCAATTTGCTGACAAGTTGAGGGCCATATAACAAAAATTTGAGCTGGGGGCTGGCCTATCTGGGCTCCTGTCTGGTGGGGGTCTGTCTAAGATAGGCAACGGCGCTCCGATAAGACTTATCAGTTATTAATTTTGCATTTGCTGATAGGCTTTAAATATTCCATCAACTTGACCTAAATGCGCAATACGAGTTTTCAGCATGGCTATGAGCTAATATACGCATAACGTATTTATGTATTTACGTAAATACAAGAATATATACAAATAACTGTATGTATTTCGTTTTACATGCTTTCACTTTCAGAATAGCGCATGCGTTGTTCCGCTTGGTAGTATTTCTCCTTCTCTGGAGTAAAGGACACGTTCTTTGCGGCGTATTTTTTTGCAGATTCTTTTCTTTTTATTTATTGGGCCCTTACTTATGACCTCTTAGAAAAAAAGGTTAACAGCTCCCAAAGGCATTCCAATAGGCAAGGAAAACCAAAAATCTGCTTAATGCGCACTTAACATACCCACTTCATTTCTATTCCACTCTGTTAATGCATTTGCATTTGAAATTGCAAGCGGGGAAATGGTTTATTTAATTGCACAATGCTTGCCCAAGGTCGTTATTAATGAGAAGTGTTGTTCATTACGCTGATGGTCGCGGCATGTTCGACATGTAAACAACACTAAAAGCAAGCCAAGCAACCCACCACCTACCGCTGTTAGCTGTTAACAGCGCGCTGTTAGCGGGCAGCATCATTGAGCTGCTAACCAATGTCTTTTACGCTGTGGAACATACGCTCTCCCTCGCTTGCGCTCTCTGCTGGCACTTGTTTACGTATTGCACGTGCACTCAATGTTTCTTTTTCTTTCTCGCATGTTCAGTCTGCGCTGGCATTTTTAGACTAACGGACGTGTGTTTGTGTATGTTCTTTCTATATGATTTAGTGTGTGTGGGTGGGTGTGTGTACGTGTATAAGCGTCTCAATAATTCGCATAATTCACACAAGTTGGATTACGGTTGCGGTTGTGGGTGAGCGGCGCTGCTTGGCTACAACTTAACCTCAATTGAACTTACGCTCGATTGCGCAAACATTTTATCAGCTTTTTTTGTGCGTCTCTAAAATGTAATCAATAACCGTAATTACGCGCTCGCAACCTAAACATGTATATCATGTCACTTGTTTATCATATTTCTTTTCGACTTTATTTTTTTTCTTTTCTTACACCTATTTTCGTTTTGATAATAAAAATAGAAATACGTTTGCCGCTGTTGCCGCTGCTCATATTGTTGATATTCAAGCAAAGCGCGAGTACAGGTGCTTGAAAATACAAACTATCGGCATTTTTGAGAGAGAGCGAGAGAGTGGCAGTGCGAACATAAACATACGTACAAGTATGCATACATTTGGAGCAATTTTTCTAATTAACAATTGTACCTAGGTCAATACAGTGGCTCAGACAACTAGTTCAAAGAAATTTTAAAATACAGTGAAAGCTCCGCTACAATTTTTTGTCGATCAATCATATATATATATTTGTTGAAAAGTTTAATCTTTTGTATAATTTATAATATTGTATTTATTTATTCGATATCTTTATTTGACGTCAACTCAAGCAACGCTGTTGTTCGCTCCATTGAGCTGTTGCTGTAGACACACATGTATATTAATATGGCACTGTCAATCAGGTGACCAAAATGTCACAAGCAATATCGCGCCGCTTGCTGTGTGAATAGGCGCAGAGCATTCTGAACTGTATGCGGTATACAACACAAAGAAGAAGAACGAGAGCGCAACAGCTTCTGCTGCAGTCGCAACAATGCAAAATAATAGCTACTCGCGCATTGACACGACGGCCTTTGGGGGTGGGTTGAACTTTTTCAAGTGCAAGCTGCGCAGTCGCTGGCGGCTGTTAGGTCGCTCAACAGCGAATGCAAATGTTTGCATTAACTTTTACAGTTGCTGTTAAGCTAATGTAGTTATGTTAACAACTTGCTCAAATATAGCAATAATTAAATACACGCACGATCAGCGACGTGTGCTCGCGTTTATATAAATAATATTAATACGACAAAAAAATGTTTATACAAAAAAAAATATATACATACATACTCATTCGCGTCGACGTCGACGTCGTCTGCAGCTTTGACTTAATTTGAGTGCGTTCAACTTAACGACGTTTTTCCAAGCGTGAAAGAGAGCCAAAGAGCAAAAAGCACAAAGCTCTTTGACAAGTGCAACAACGACAAAATCTAACGTGCTGTTCATTTACAGTGCAAGGATTATGTGACTTTAACAAAAGAGAACGATAAAGAGAGTGAGAGAGCGAGAGAAGGTGGAAAGAGAGTGAAAGTGCAAATACTAAAGAAATCTTGCTATATATAAGTTAACAAAACTTTTTGACAAACGCATAAGGTGCAATCAATCGATCACAATACATTTGTCTACACTGCGTCATAAAAGTGTAGCAACGGCAACAAAATGCACGGACTCTCCCATCTCTATCGGCAGCACGCCGTGGAGAAGCAAATAAGCGAGGGCAGTGTCGGCGTCGGCGCCAGGGGCAGCAGCGTGGACAGTTGGTCACATCGGAACAGCTCCAGAAACTCATATGAGCCATCCAGCTCACTGCAGGAGCGTACACTCTACTGCACGGAATCCTCCTCGAATAGTTCCAGCAGCAATTCAAATAACTCAAACAATTCGGCGCTGGGCGGCGTCACAGGCAGCGCCTATTCCCAGTGGCAGACGGAGCGCCACTCGCAGCCACAGGCCGTGCCCGATGCTCACAAGTCGCTGGCCAATCATCATCATCAGCAATGCAACTACAACAACTCGCCGCTGCATCAGGCCAATGGCGGCGGCCAGAGCGGACACCGCAGCTCCTACGACAGCTGCTACGGCGGATCGGGCATCAGCGGCAGCTTGAAGCGCACACCCTCCTCGAAGCGCTGCATGTTCGAAAGATCTCACAGTCCGGCTATTTATGGCGTAAGCAATGATCAATCAATTGGCCAGCATTGCAGTTGACCCTGTTTCGGACTGCAGCACTCGCAGTTAATCAATGTTTAGATCAGCGTTTTAGTCATTTGTCATCAAATCACGCAGCTTGTTCAAAACCTATCAAGTCCATCTCTGGCAGAGTCACGATTCATCGTGGGGTGATGACAGTTGAAACTGCATTTTATTTATGTTGGCGAGCGAGATAAACTTGTTTCATATCGACAATTGTACCAAAGTATCTTTATTAAAAATATTTTAAAAGTGTATTGAGAATAGTTTGTTAATTAATTTTATTTATTATATTTAAGATCCAGGTTAAATTCAAATGTGAATCAGAGCGTTTCTATTTTGATCAGATTCGATTTAATTGCAAAGCAAATCCTTGCTAACCTATCGATTATTAGATTTGTATCGACTTCATCGATAATCCACGATTAATTGTATAAGAGAGTAAGATGTACTATATTCGATAGTAGTGTGCTAGAAATGGACTCACAGCTGTTTGAGGACTGAGGAAATAAGTGCTGCTGTTTCTGAGGCAGGGTTCCAATGCAATTGAAGGTTTCGCCAATGCGCCTTAGCTAAACACACATATTATTTACAGAGCATGCGCCGCGGCGCACCTGAGTTTGGCTCGCCACCGGCTGCTCAGCCGCCGGGCGGCTACTTTCCACACGATCTCGATGATATTTATGAGAGTGGCGCGGATCATCAGTATTTTACGCACACGGGCGCCAGCGGGCCGCAGCGCAGCTCGGAGCGACCCACTGCCATATCGATATTTCACAGGGTGAATGCAGCGGCCAGCTCAATGGATGACTACAGTACGGGCGGATCGCGTCAGTCCGTCTACAGCATGGACAGCGGTACGCTGAATGTGTCTGTGGGGCGGCAGCGCTTCGACAATTCGTCTTTTGCCAAAAGTCTCAGCATTGACGAACAGGAGCCTAGCCACAAGGAGGAACACCACAAACACAAGTACCATGGTCATCATCATCATCACAATCATCACTCCATACAGGAGATGCTCAAGACCCTGGGCAAGAAGATGCACGTGTGGCCGAGGAAGAACCATGATGCTCAAAGCGTTTGCACCTCCCCGCTCAACGATCCGCAGGAGAACTTCCGCACACGCTCGAAGAGTCTCGATGTGAACACGCTCTCGAGAGCCAATCGCATTTTGGAGGATTGCGGCGAGACCTATAAGATCTACGAGCGCATTGTCAAGGAAGGTAAAACTGGGTACTTGCTGTCTAGCTTAGAGTTAGTCCTAACCTACGCTCTCTTATATAGCACTTTTTCTGTCTATGCCCATATCTAATTCTGCTCTCTTCTGTTTAATTAGGTGCTCATATGCGGCGCGCGTCTGCCGATTTGGAGAAACGACGCGCTTCGGTGGGTGCTGCCGGTCGTAGCTATCGAGGCGATGGCACTCTAGATCCACACCATGCAGCCATACTCTTCAGAGACTCCAGAGGTGTAAGTACTACTACTATATAAATATAAAGTTACAAATTTCTTAAGACACTCTAGTTTAAGTATAACTCATTATCTGATATTCTGTTTTCATTCTTAAAATTATATCGATTGAAAGCAAGCTCAAACTTAATTTCTCTACTCAAATTGTCGTATCAATTCCATTTGGTACTTATTAATTTTGCCAAGATAGAGAAATTCCCCTAGGAATTACCCGTCGCATGCTAGCCACAGTATTAGTTTGACATTGACAAATAGCCTTGAAGCCGCATTCAATTATTTCCTCGTTCTCTTTTCCTTTTCATTCAGTTAGCATAATTTCCCTGCTAGGTCAGCTGTGGCTTTATTTCTACAAGCTTTTTTTTGTCCAAGGGATTTTTTGTTGCTGCCGTCGAGTATGCAATGATTTTTGTAGCAGGAGTGCTGTAAACATTTCAGCCTAACAGCTGTTAATGTACGCGCTGTTTTTATAGCTTTTAAATTTACTTAGTTGTTGTTTCTTTTTTTTTGCGAATAACATTTGTTATGGTTTTCCTGATAGTAATATCACTGAGAGGCTATAAACTTAGTCATAATTTCAATATAGTTTTCTGAGTGGGCGCTACTCCAGTTAACGCACATTGCCATTGTTCCATATTGTTGTTGACGTAACCACAAGGTCAACGTAATTGGCTTAAATATTCTTACAACGAACGCCTTGTTTACAATTTTTTCACACTCCGCAACGTAGTTATTAAGGCGGAACTGGCTTCGACGTTGTTGTTGCGTTATATATTGACAAGTACGACATTTTACGCCGCTAACAAGAATTGTTGCCAAAGTCCTCTCTCTAGTGCTCTTGACGTCAGCTGCGGAGAAAGCCTCACGCAGTGTCTAGCATAGTAATATATATATATATAAAATATATATATGCGTGTGAGTTTGTCTTAGCTAATTATGATTAATTATCGTGCGCATTTCACATAATTCATATGCGATTGCTTTATGCGAAGTCCAACTGAATTTCAATTCGAATTCTCTCCCGCTCTCTGTGTCTACAATCTGTAGCTGCGTTTACTTTGTTTATCGGCCTCTTGAGTATATTTACAGAAGAAGCTTTTCACTGCGGCCTTCTTTCATAATCTGTCTCTTTTGCTCTCTCGCTCTCTCTCTGTCTGCAATGGCACTGTTAGCACTCGCCCACTGTTTACTGCTTATCCTATGTGTATGTGGGCGAGCACTTAGCACTTGGCTCGCTCTCTCTTTAAAATGCACGCTCTCTATGTGTGCTCTTGTTGTTGTTTTTGTTTTTTCTTTTTTGAAGAAGCTTCAAGAATGCGAACGAACGAATGCCATGCGTTTTTTTGGTTGATACACTTGGATAGGCAGAGTACTTGGTTATCGCAGTGCAATTTGTGATTGTTGTAGTGCACTTAACTAAATTTAATTATAGATTAAAACAAACACTGCTGATTAATAGAGGCAATCTGTTTATGAGTGAAATAAGTGTATACATATGTATGTATACTCAGCGGCATGATGGAAACCTTTTGTTTAGTGTGTTTGAACTTCGATACGACATAGATTGGCCTCTCTGCGTTGTTTACATGTGTTCGTGTGTGTGTGTTTACTTAAGCTTTAGCACTCGCACACATACATGCTCACGCACACACACGTGCTGATCATATGGCAGCAACGCTCAACAAACTGTTAACCAGTTTACGTTTACATTTGGGAGCGCGCAGACGTGCCCGGAACCGAGAATAGCAAACGCAAAAAGCAACGCTCGCTTGCAAATTTTCCAATATATACGCATATAGTTTCCTTAGCACGCGAGCGCGTTTTATCAGTGCAGTGCGTGAGTGTAGGTGAGAGTGTTCTTAGTGAAATAATTGCAGTGCGCGTGTATTTGTGTATTTGCACATGTATCGCCGTCGCTATTCCGCGTTTGAGTCGAGCACACCTCGTGTTGGTGTGCTGCCCTCAGCAGCAGCAGCAGCGACAGCGACAGCGGCAGTGGCTGGCCTGCCGCAGCAGACAGCTTCCAAATTACTACACAGCAACAACAGCAATAACAATGGGAAATTAAGCGTCCGCTTTGACCCAAATCTGCCCGATAATGACAGCAGCGACAAGAACAACAACAATAGCAAAAGCAAAGAGAAAACCTACGAGACTTTAGGCGGCAGCTATGACAGTTTGCACGCGAAGGTTGCCCGCAAGGCGCGCTCTCTTAGCAATTCGCCGCTATACCGAAAGAGGCGCTACAGTCATCTGCCCACTCTGTTGTCAAGTAACGGAACCGCGGCCGGCGCAAACTATCAGCTGCTGAATAGCACAAATCTCACAGATTTTATGGATGGTCAACGCCAATCGCAGCACGTAAGCAGGCGCGATGACAACATCGGCTCCAGCATCAGCAGCAGCAGCAGCAGCAATAGTAGCAACGGCAGCAGCAATAACAACAACACTAAAGTCAAACAAAAAGATTCTAGAAAACTATCAGCAACTCTGTCGGCTGCTATGCCGGCAGTGCTGATGCGTCGCAAGGCAGCAATGAACAATAATAAGAATCAAGAGCAACAACAGCAACAACAACCGCAACAGCAGCAGCAGCGCAGTAGCAACAATAGCAACAACATTGCAAATGGTCTGATGCCTGGCAAACGTCTGTCTGCAGGTCATTCACCGGTTGCTGGCCGCAACGAGCTGGCTGCTGGTGGACTGCAACAGTCGCTGGTCTATCAGCGGCGCAGCAACAGCCAAAGCACCCACAATTCGCCTCGGCATTCGTCACCCGCACCGGTGCATCAGTGTCTGCTGTTGCGGCGACGCAGCGACTACAGCATTGAGCAGATCGAACAATGGAAGCGACAGCAACAACAAATGCAGACGGGGCGAAAAATTAGCGTAAGTGGTGAGAGAGACAGAGATATGTACATACATATGTATATCGGATAGCGGGAGAGGGAGCGAGAGTGGGATATCGAAAATTCGTTGACAGCTAAGCTTTCGAGTGTTTCTGTTGTTTTCCTCTTGTTGTTTACAGCAGTTTTAGGAATTTCTATTTTATCTTGCATTCGCCTTATTTCGCCTAACAGCTTTTGCTGTGCTCAGTGTCAATTTAATTGCCTTGACGTTGCCGTCGCTTTTGGTTAGCAGTTGAGAGCTCGTTTATCGGAAAAAGAGAGAGGGAGAGCTAATGGCACTCTCTCTCTCTCTCTCTTCCTCTGTGGCTCTCTCGCTCACTGTCTAATTGTTTACAGAGATTGCAAACTTTTCGAATGCCTGTTTGCCTATGGCACTTACGATTGCTACTCGTTCCACAAATGCACATTTCAATGCTAATTTCAAATAAAACTTTTTGTCTATATATATTCAACGCAGACGCATGATAAATGCGCATAACAGAGCGAATGAGATAGGGAGAACGAGAGAGAGAGCGAAGAATGAGAGTAACTCATAAATATTTATATTGAAGTTTGCATTCTTTTATCTGCGATTGCGTCGCCTGTTTTCTGATTAAGCGATTACGTCTTGGAGCACTGCTCGTGCTCATTCAGATAAACATATGTACACACATTCAAACTTATACGCACACGCGGTTATATTTAGGTAATTGTATTCATACACTTTAAAAATAATAGACCAATTGATACAGTGACAATCAGTATGTGACCCGAATTTAAAATACTATTTAGTTGGCCTGCAAATTGTACCTTGAAAATGATAATGGATGCTGCTGGGATAGTGTAATCAAATAATACGAGTTTTATTTGAGTAATTTATCTGACAATTTGTTATCTGATTTAGCTGTTATACATGAGATACGACTAACGCTTTAACTGAAATAGTAAATAGCATATGTATTTGAGACGTAAAACAAATATGTGTAATTTCCTTTACTTATATGTAAACGTGACTTTAAGATAACGTTAAACGTATGCACAGCTTATGGAATTGCATTTTAACATAATTATGTTAATCCCTTACGTGATGTAAGCTCTTATTGCATTTACATAACATAACATAACATAATTACATTACTGCCTTAAGAACGATTACTGTTAATATTTAACCTAAGTCAGTTACTTGCATCACATATTACGTCGTATCTAAAATTGGCATATTATTTTCTTATGACGTATGACATTATCGTAATTAAAGTTGCTAATGAATATTTTAAACAACAATATTTTGTCTCCTTTGCAGTTGCCGCGTGCCGATCCCTTCTTGGACAAAGTAAATCTTTCAGATTTCGGTAAGTAAAGCAAAAAAGAAATTGGGGGCTCGTTTGGGATGTGAGAGGAAAACTGTTAAACAAATTCATGTATCGTTCAAATAAATTAGCAGCTACACTTGGCAACTGGCCAAGAAGAGGCTCGGGCATCAATATTTCTTTCTTTTTTTTATCTGTCGGCACACGTCGCGACACTTAACCACGAAGAACAGATGTATAGATATTATATAAATAAATAAATATGTATATGTACATATATGTGGGTATTTTTTTTTGATTTAATCAAAATCATATATCACAGGGATTAAACGTACAACATTGTGTAGGTAGCAGGAAAATTATATAGTTATAAAACTCTACAGCGCGATAGGCGTATACATATAGAAATATATTGACTATACGAGTATTTTAGAGAGTCCATTTGTGATGCGTATCTGGTTGACGTAGATGCTGAACACACCTCCTTGTTTTTGGTTTCATTAGCGCTAATTATAAGTTCCCAAGTGCGCCCCGAGATGATCTATCTGCAAATATCTCTCTCTCTAACTGTTTCTCTCTTTGCATTTCTGGCTTTCACTATGTCATTTGTACGTTTGCAATTTCCCATTGAAATTTGTGCATTTGGCTGCCAATTCGATGCATTTCATGAACATCATTAGCGTCATATTCAATATGATCTGCCTTTATAGATTATAAAATTTGTTCCGCAATTTTTGGTTTGTTTATTTAGAAGTTGATCTTAAATAAATACACATATACGTGTATACATATGTTTGCATTTGTATACACTAGAAAAAGTATTGGAATTCCGTTGCCAGGAAAACAAAATAGTTTATTTAAACAGAAATGTTACACAGATGTTAACTCGATTAAATCACCTTCATTTGAGACTTCACTGAAAATTGAGAATCTAAATTAATTTTTAATGTGAAAAACTATTATGTTTGCATGCAGAACAATATTTCTACAAATGAAGTAAAATTTCTTATAAGAATTCAAAAGTTAAATAGAATTTTCCCTCATATTATACTCTATAGTTGCAAGGGTATTTCAATTTCGGTGCAGCAAAAATTAAATAACAAAAAAAAAAAAAAATTCTTTCTTGTTTTTGTGTTGATTTTTTTCTGCTTTGTGCTTTGCGCGAAAAAGTTTTTCGCTTTTCCGACCAATGGGAAAAGCGAAATACACAAAAACAGCAACAGAGACCGTAGAATCAGTTTATGATAAAATCTCGAGACGTTTGGACGGGCGACAAATAAACAAGCAAAGCGCCGCGCTTCACAAACCAAATAGATATTACCTCTTTAGCTCTACAGAGAGAAGAAAAATAAAAGTATATACACAAAGTGCTGGATATTAACTAGAACTAAGGATCGGTCGAATACAATGGACTGCAGTTGAAGGTCTAACGGTGTCTGTTTGAGCAGCAATTAGTCACTGTGGAAGAATTCGTTAAACGAAATAGGCGATTACGAATAGAAATAATATTCGTCTATATATTCATTCAGGCGCCGCGACGCCAGCTAAAGAGGAGCTGCCACAATTGAAATCGTTTTGCAATTGTTTAAAACAGAAGAAAAAGAAAAAACAATTACAAAAACAACACTGAATTAATGAAAAAGAACTCAAAGCATTTTAATTAACTTGTGCGAAAAAAAAACAAGAAATATAAATGAAAAAAAAAAAAAAAAAACTACGAAACGATATAAAAAATAAATAAAAAAATAAAATAGAAGAGAAATCAATCAGAATAGCAACAGCAGCAACAGCAAACATTTAAATGATAATACGAAAAGAGATATATAGCCATATAATACACACACACACACGCACACCTTCGCTTGGGAACAGCCTTCACCTTTTTTCTATCTGCTTCTTCATTGTTTCAGTTATTTATCTCAGCCTTCTTAATTTTGCTTTTTTTTTTAACTTTTTACCCTGGCAACATGCTTAAAAAAAAAGCAAATAAATAATAAGAAAATTAAACAACAATAAAGTCTCCATTAGGGAAAAGAAAAATCGAACAAAAAATGCATATGAGCAATATTTGATATATATTTGTATATGTATTTGATAATATATCACTTATCTCGAGCAACCTTCGCTTTTTATTTAGACGTTGCTGCTTTTTCGTCTTTTTGGCAGCTTTGTCAGCGCAGACAGCGTATAATTTGTTAACAAAAAAATAAAAAATCAACAACAATAAATATGCAAAAAAAAAAAAACATAAAATTAAGAAAAAAGTGTGGGAGATTAAATTATGAAGCAGATGAGGCATATTTATGTTGTACCACAGCTTAAGAACTATTCCATTTGGATTAGATTGGCAAAAGGGCGAAAAAAAGGCAAAGCAAAATGAAAAGTGAAAAAGGGTTCGAGCTCCTTAACTACCAATTAAAGTTTTCTTTGAGTTTTACTAAAATGTTTATATTTTCTTTTTAGTCAAGCAGAAAATATTTAACAGGAAATCATGCAAAAATTATATTTTGATTTATTAATAATGCTTAAAAAGAGGTTTTAAAATAGACATTTTTCAAATGTATAATACTATATAGAGTTCAAGAAACGCGTGCCAATTCAGCTAATTTGACATTGATCTATTTGAATGTTGAAAATGGGAATATTTTCAATATTCCATAGAGTTGTTCATCATCAGTTCAAAGTGAAAAGCATTTGCCATCAATTATAATATCGCATTCTCATACCATTTCGGCATATTTGTTGAAAAGCAATGAAAGATTGAGGCCCCTAGAGAGAGAAGGCGAGGCGCTCGGACAATGTTTGGGCGGGTTAATTAATTTCTTGGCACACATATTTAACCAATGTTCTCAAATAGGGCGCTCAGACAATGCTCAATTTATATATACAAATATATATTGTTGTCATTTTTGTTTGGGCACGCTCAGTGCATTTATCAGTCGTTGACATATAAGTGTTCGACTATATATGACAGACATTTATTTGATTAACACCCAGCGCAACGCCTTAATGTTTATTCGTTCACATAGAGCATGTCCGTTGCCCGTTGCATAGGGAAGGGGCTCCCCACTGGTGGCAATTGCGTGAAATGGCCGTAGACAATTATTTTGATTAAATGAATTTTGTAGGATCTAGCTGTAGGAGCTAGCGGTTCGTCAATTTGCTATATTTTCGGCTCTCGCTTTTATTGCAATGCTAAATTTATGTTAATTAAAATGTCTAAATGTAATTTATTGAAATGCAGACAGAAAACAAATTTATGGCAAGTTTACATACATCTACATCTATATAGTAAATAGATATGTATGTGTGTGTATATATCTAACTGTTATATATCAAGATCTGTTGTTGTCGCTGTTGCTAAATTGTCGAGCAAATAGAATACGATACGGGAAATAAATATTTAGATTTTGGTGCATTTGTTTTACGTTTCGATAACAGTGAGAAGCGCTTGGAAGGGCGCGTCGCTGTTAAGCCGCTGTTAACGCTCAATTGAACATTCAATTAGCGTTGCTAAACAAAATCGATTCAGAGTGTGCGTGCCTGAGTGGTCCAGTCAATTGGCAGTGCCTCCATTGTGCTGATGGTGCCTCGCCGTGGCTCATCTCAAGCCACCCGATAGCCCCCGAAGCCCAGCTCCTCCTCGCATGTTACAGCTGCATTTCTATTCGAATCATGCGGGCCGCTTGGTGCTCGGCGGCAGCGGTCGACCCAGTGAGGTGCTCTGCTATCCATTGGAGAGCATCAAGGAGTTCGAACAGATCTCCGAGGGCTGGAAGCGTCTGCTCGCTCAGCTGCTCAAGCAAGGTGCCAAGTGTAGTCTAGAATTGCAAATAAATTAGATCGAGCTCAAAGTAAATCCATTTTAACATTTGTTTTTCTTTCTTCTTTGCAGAGGAGGACGATTCACAGATCTTTGTCAAGTTCTTTCGTTTTCACAAGTGCTATGATCTGATACCCACCTCCGCTAAATTGGTCGTCTTCGACACCCAGCTGCTGGTGAAGAAGGCCTTCTATGCGCTGGTCTACAATGGCGTGCGTGCGGCCCCGCTCTGGGACTCGGAGAAGCAACAGTTTGTGGGCATGCTGACCATCACAGACTTTATAAAGATCTTGCAAATGTATTATAAGTCACCCAACGCGTCCATGGAGCAGCTGGAGGAGCACAAACTGGACACGTGGCGCAGTCAGTATTCATTAGCCATATTTCTCACATGATTTTATTTTTACCTTTAAACTGTTTTTTCAATTTGCAGGTGTGCTACATAACCAGGTGATGCCATTGGTCAGCATCGGACCGGACGCCTCCCTCTATGATGCCATCAAAATTCTCATACACAGCCGCATACATCGTCTGCCTGTGATCAATCCAGAGAATGGCAATGTTTTGTACATATTGACACATAAACGCATACTGAGGTTCCTGTTTTTATATGTGAGTAAAGTCCATTAACTAATGTTAATATTGAATCAAAAGAGATTATAAATAGACCATAGCAAATCAGGCAGGTGCCAAATGAATTCAATTATGTATCTAAACATATTTACTTTCCAGTCGGAAAAATCTTCTGAAATCAAGCTAAAATGCAAAACCAAAAAACTACTTGTAAAGCTCAATTCAAAGTCTTTTGAATATACAATATTCTCTCTACTTAGTCTTGAAGAAGTAGACCTATTGATATCCTCTGATCATGCTAATCTCTTATATTTATATATTACAATTTCCATTCCTTCACAGATTAATGAATTACCAAAGCCCGCATATATGAAGAAGAGTTTGCGCGATCTGAAGATCGGCACGTACGACAACATTGAGACCGCCGACGAGAACACAAGCATCATCACAGCGCTCAAGAAGTTTGTGGAGCGACGTGTCTCGGCGCTGCCGCTGGTCGATTCGGAGGGACGACTCGTTGACATTTATGCCAAGTTCGATGTGATTGTAAGTGAACTCGAGAGTGTGCCAACTGTTGGGCATAGTGAGTCAACATTCTATTTGTCTTCCACAGAATCTCGCTGCTGAGAAGACCTACAACGATCTCGATGTCTCGCTGCGCAAGGCGAACGAGCATCGCAACGAGTGGTTCGAGGGCGTGCAGAAGTGCAATCTGGACGAGTCGCTCTACACGATCATGGAGCGCATTGTGCGCGCCGAGGTGCATCGCCTGGTCGTTGTCGACGATCAGCGCAAGGTGATTGGCATCATCTCGCTGTCAGACATATTGCTCTATCTGGTGCTGCGACCGAGCGGGGAAGGAGTCGGTGGCTCCGAGAGCTCACTACGTGCCTCTGATCCGGTGCTCTTGCGCCGAGCAGCTGAGGCGGAGTCCACATCGGAGGCGACAGCGGCACCGCCACGTAGTCCATCGGCGGCCAGCTCTGGCAACCGCAGCCTTATCGAGGACATACCCGAGGAGGAGGCGACCGTTGCGCCAGCGCCAGCGCCAGCACCGACGCCGACGCCCAAGAGCGATGCTGATAGTGATAATAATAAGTCCGCCAGTGAAGACAAAGCCAACAATAATCAGCATGATCTGGCGGATGCGTCGACGGCGACGCCAAATGGTGATAGCAATAACAGTCCAGCCGAAGTGTCCTTTGCCGATGAGGCGCATGAACAAGCCGACAATGATGATAGGGGCGGCGGTGACGATGACGACAACAATGATGATGATGTGCGGCATCAGGATGATGAGGTAGAGCGCAAAAAGGCAGCCGCTGCCGCAATCGCTGCGGCGACGCGAACGGACAACGGGGACGACGACAACGGGCTGAGCAGCGCCGTTTCGGCAGCCTCGGCGCTCGGCCAGTCGCTGGCGACGCCCACGGCGCGCGAAATGGCGCTGGTTAGTGAATAAAGAATTAATTTAATAATAAATAAAGAAACCCAAAAAAAAGAAGAAGAAAGAAATATACACAAAGAAAGCAAGCGAGAAGGAACTAAACAATAAAACTAATTTCAGAGTGGAAAAATTTATATTTGAATATTATTAGATGGTAGGCGCAAAAGTTATTATATACGAGAGAAAATATGATTACAATTATAAACTATAATTATGATTATGATTATGTATTTTACAAAAAGCAACTAAAAACACAACAACACACATACACACCTGTTAACAAAAATGTTTATATATATTATATTTAAAACACGAAAAAACAAAAACAAAATCAACAAATTACATTAGCTTGTCTTAAAATTTTAAATTATGTAATTGATTATTATATAATAGTATAGTACAAGTCATAAAAACAGTTGTTTCCATTTAACATTTAAGGTGTATTTCAATTTACTCGCAAAGGGAATACTGGGAATGTTTTATTAAAAAAAAAAAAGTTTGTCATTGATAATTGACCGCCAATGGTTCCATTAATGTGCAACAACGTTTTTCAGTCACTAGGTAATTTAATAATTAAATTTAATTATAGTATTTAAAAAATGGATTCGCACATTTAAGGGCAGCGCCTCGTTGAGACATTTTAAATTTAAGCGTTTGGCGGCTTCTTGACGATACTATTGTACATGTATCGTCAAGTTCCGATAAGTGGGATGTGCTCATCACTAGCTAAAGTAACTTAAGGCACAAAAGAACAACCGAGCCAAGGAAAAATATACTAAACAGCTAGAATATTTGCAATACTATGGGGTATTTTCTATCAACTTATTACAACTTTAATAAATGTCTATAAATGAAGTATAATTATTTCACAATAGCATCTACATATGTATGTACATGTATTGCAATATATTTCAGCAGTGCTGCCATATCTCAAGCATAAACTATATTGTTATTGATATCGATAGTCAACCAACCATCTGCACGTGCATATTCAAAGGGTGCCCAACTGATATTGTTTATGCTAAATTACAATAGTGATTGGTGACAACATGAACTATTTCGAGATACAGGAGTTGCCCGGCAAAGGGCGTGCTATGATAGCAACAAAGAACTTTGCAGTCGATGAGGTCATCTTTGAGGAGGAACCATTCGTGTCGCATCAGTTCTCATGGAACAAAGCCTACGGCTATGCAGCTTGCGATCATTGCATGCGACCGGTAAAAAAGAAAAACAACAACTGTCTGACTGCTCATTTATAACAAACCTTTCAGCTGGAGACATTGCTGGAAAACGTTCGACGTTTGGCCAACAACCAGGCAGTCATGGTGCCCTTGGTCGAGCATGATCCCACAGCTGCTTGGTTCTCTCAATTCACGCAGTGTCCCCGCTGCAAAGTGCGGTACTGCTCTGAGGATTGCTTGGTGGAGGCGCAGAAGCGCTATCATCGAGTAAGTTGCATGGGCGCCTTCCGGACGGACGATACACATCCCATTAATGTGCTGAACGAGACGTGGAAGAAGATGCACTATCCGCCAGAGACGGGCACAATCATGCTGATTGTTCGCTTGATGGCCATGTATCAACAGAGCAGCAATAAGGCGGACTTTTTGGATCAGCTCCAATCATTTCAAGCGCTGATTGTCAATCGCGAGCAGAAAATATACCACAAGATGCTGGGCGAGAACTTTGAGCAGCAAATGGAGCAACTGTATGTAGCCTTTTGCAATGCATTCAAGAGCGAGGAGTTTGCAATGGCAAGTGATGTCTCAAGCTTGTCTATTATTCAGCTTTAAGAAGTACAATCTGCTCCACAGTTTACTACACCGGATGCCTTCAAGACCCTGATGGGTATATTGGGCACGAATAGCCAAGGCATTGCCACCAGCGTTTTGGCCCAGTGGGTTAACAAAGTTTCCGAGTTACCGCTGCCTGAAGCGGAGAAGGAAAGTCTGGATAAGGTGATCGATCAAATCTATGAGAAAGTGGGAGAGTGTAAGTGGCAACGGGTTTATTTACATACAATGATATAACATTCTCTATTCCTATTCAGTTGCTGGCGAATTCCTAAACAACGAGGGTTCTGGCTTGTACATTCTACAGAGCAAAGTCAACCACAGCTGTGTACCCAATGCCCAGTCCACGTTTCCCTACTCCAACGACATTGTCGTACTGAAAGCTGTGGCCCCCATACAAAAAGGAGAAGAGATATGCATTTCCTATTTGGATGAGTGCCAGCTGGAGCGCAGTCGCCATTCCAGGCATAAAATATTACGCGAAAACTATATATTCGTTTGTCAGTGTCCCAAGTGCAGAGCACAGGCCTCTGATCCGGATGTTACCAGCGACGAAGAAGACGACGATGAGGACATGGACGACTGCGATGACGATGATATGCAATAGGTCTAAAAATTTTTTAAATTAGATTTTAAACTGTATACTCTGCATGTGAGTACGATTGTATAAAGATAATTATTAAATTTTGTTCAACAAGGATGCAAGATTGGAATCCGTTAATTGTAATACTTATACAATTTATCCTCAGCCATGTATGAGTATTCCATTTTGCAAATAACTGCTGAACCTTTTTTGGTCATCCCAGAGTTCGGGCTTAGTAGTAATCCCATTGAGCCACCGGGCTCAAAGTATGCAGGCAAACAATTAGTATACAATTTTCAACTATATATAATTTATATACAATAGTTAACAAATCTCATTGGACGCTACCTTCACCAGTTGCAACGGGCGTTAAGTTTATCAGCTTATTACTACTCTCTGCCAAATCCGCAATTGATACGCGACCTCGCTGCTTGATGAACTTGGCCACGGCTGCCAACTCCGCTTCTGAGACGTAAATGAATTTGCCGCGATCGTCAATGACGCCGGTTATTGTCCCATTTGCCTGCAGCTCTTGGATACGTTCGATGGCCTGCTGAGTTTTCAACTTGAATGCTGTGGCTAAGTCTTCAAGTAGAACAACCTTATTGTCCTTGATGTACTGTATAAAGTCGGCCAGCAGACTCTCCTTTTCATCGGCATCGCCTTCTTCGAAGCCCTCCTCTTCGATGCTAAACGCTGCCTTCATTTTAAGATACTCCTCGTGCTCTTTGCGCTCGCGCTCTTCCTTGGCCAATCGCTCGGCTTCCACTCTTTTGCGTTCCACTTCCGCCTCGAGTTCCTCCTGCTGCTTGCGCTCTGCATCTTCTTTCGCCTCCTTCACCTTGCGCTGCTCACGATCGTGCAGCTCTTGTTCACGCTGCAATCGTTTTTGTTCTTTAGCTTCCATTTTGGCGCGTTTCTTGGCGCCCATCTTTTCATCCAGGGCAGCACCCTGTGGCACTCGTGGCCCATTCTCGTCACCAGCTGCCGCCGCTTCGTCATTATCAGAGTCTATGGCAGCAGCGGCAGGTGCAGCCGCCGCAGCTGCGGCCGGTGGAGCATTTTGATTCGCACGCAAACGATTGCGCTGATTCCGCGCAATTTGTGCACGCCTTGGCACGCCCTCCTGAGCTCGTTGTGGGACGCCACGTTGAGGTTGCGCAGCTGCTTTTGTTTATGATTGGAAAGTGTTGTAGAGTATAGAGAAATGTATTAAATTTATTTTGCATTTCACTGCATACCTGTCTTTGAATTTTTGTTCTGCAGGAAATAGAGCGTTATGAGGATAACTAACAGTGCAACTGCAATGCCAACAAGTAATATCAAGTCCATTATTTATCTAAAATTGCACTCCGAATGCCAAAAGTTAAACGTCAACAAAACAAACAGCTGTTAAGCCAGAGTTGCCACCTATAACTAATCTTAATTCCTTTTATATAAGTACGCATGTGTGTGTATGTGTTTTGTTTGCCAAGTGGCAACTCTTTCGCAGCTGTCAAGAGGGAATTTGTCAATGTAGCCACTTTGCCTTTTTCTCATGACGTGTCGGCGAGCTTAGTTTTTATAAAACAAATAGTTGAAGCTCAAGTGGAATTTTTACAAAAAAAATGCGAGACCAATGGATCAGCCTTGCCCTCGTGCTGTGTGCGTTGCACAGCGCCTGCGGCCTATACTTTCACATATCGGAAACGGAGCGCAAGTGCTTTATTGAGGAGGTGCCCGATGAGACAACTGTGATTGGTAAGCTGCATAATAGTTTGGAGGCTCCGAAGCTGACATCTATATTTGTGTTGCAGTTAACTACAAAGTGGAGCTCTATGATCCACGCTCCAATGGATTTATGCCATCCTCGCCGGGCATTGGCATGCACGTAGAGGTGCGCGACAGTGACGACAAAGTGATCTTGTCGCGCGTCTACAGTTCCCAGGGACGAATGTCGTTCACTTCGCACACTCCCGGCGAGCACGTCATCTGCATGTACTCCAATAGCACCGCCTGGTTCAATGGAGCCCAGCTGCGCGTGCATCTCGATATTCAGGTGGGCGAGCATGCCATCGACTATGCCAATGTGGCACAAAAAGAGAAGCTGACCGAGCTGCAGCTACGCATTCGCCAGTTGCTTGACCAGGTCGAACAGATCACCAAGGAGCAGAACTATCAGCGCTATCGCGAGGAGCGTTTCCGTCACACAAGCGAGAGCACCAACTCTCGCGTGCTCTGGTGGTCGCTGGCGCAGACTGTGGTCCTCGTCTGCATGGGATTCTGGCAGATGCGTCATCTCAAGAGTTTCTTCGAGGCCAAGAAACTGGTGTGAGGGCACATCGTGGCAATGGTTATTGGTTGCTTTTGCCTTCATCTCGTTTTGTATGCAACCAAATTACAAATGCGAATTTCATCGATGTATCATCCAGATCCGTGTTTAGTTTTAATTATCTAGTTGGTTTCGCCTGCCGAGCTGAATACTTTTTCTGCCTAATTTAATAAAATCCATTGTAAAATACGAACTGTGACAGCATCACTGAGCACTGCAGCATCCTTCTTATCGCCGGGATAGTCCCGTGACTCGCTCTGCCCGACTGAGCGCGACTTGGCCTTATCACCAGCGAGGCCCAGGCACATGACATGCAAACACAGCGATAACCTGTCGCATTCGCATTGTTGTCGCCGAGATGCATTCGCTTTGTTATTGCTTTTATCTCAATGTTTGCTCTTGAGTGAGCACAGTCGACGCCGAGTACGAGACAAGATTGTCGCCGGCTCCACATCTCAGTGCTTAGTAGCTTCTCTGCTGTGGCGCGCAACGGTTGTCTCTCGGCGTGGGTGATCGGCAAACGGACCGACAGACTGCAGAGCAGAATAAAGTCAACCGCACTCGACCCACAAAAGCCGCAAGGTGAACGAATCGGACACAGCGCTGGTAATCTGAGCTCTCAACTCGAAGGCAACAGAAACAGTAACGAAAGGGAGGCTGTGAGGCGTAGTTTAGTTAACTTCGTTTAGGTTGAGCAGCGGTCAAAGCACCTGGAAAATGTTCCGCGCCACGGAAATCGGCAGCGAAGAAAGTGAGTTGCGGCCGATAAGATAAGCCAACTATAAAGAGAGATCAGATCCATCAACTGACTCTATCTCTCCTCTCTCTCTTTATTTGTCTCTTTGGCTTTACAGCATTGCCTGCAATTGCGGAACTCACCCAGACGACGGCTACTTCGTTATCTGATTTTGGGGAGCACGAGAAGCTGAGAAAGCCGCGCATCTCATTGCCCAACTATGGCTTTGCACCCATATCTAACATACGACTCGAGTACAAATATCCACGTGCCGTCTGCTTTATACTGGCCACCAAATTCTTCGAGGCCTTTGCAGCTAACGGCATGCGCAGTAAGTGGAACAGATGTAGGGCATACATATATGTATGTAACCGTATGACCCACTTTATACTAGTACAATGCAGTTGCTTTAGGTCGTCTACAGTAATCTTCCATTATATTGTCAAAATATTCCAAAAGTCGAGCTTATCAGCGAACAGAAGTGCATGCACAATGGGAGGTCTTATTGATAGCTCATATGGATGACCCACAAGGCCTCGGCTCATTAAGAGATGCAACAGCTTAAGATTGATTTGTTGTTTTTAAAATCTCAGATTTGTTTTTGATGAATCACAAATATGAGGAGCTGGCAATAAGAGATACATATATAAATAAATATTTAGTTTTCTTTACGTAGATAGAATCACAGAAGTCTACAAACCCTATAATATTTCAAATACTACTATATCTTCGTTAACATTCCCCACGCTATAAACAGATCCCAGTTGCTGTAGTTTTGGATATTAGCTTTAAATAATAAGGAACAGTCCAAGTTTTCTTGATCTCTAAAGTATGTTCGTATTATTTTTTCAGCCATCCTCGTGCTCTTTTTGCGCGATGATCTCAGCTTTACGGAGAGTTTCTCCACGATTGTGTTGCACATTTTCAACTTCTTTGGACAGTTCTGTCCGATTATTGGAGCTATACTGGCGGACAGCTATATGGGCAATGTGCGCACCATATCGGGCTTCAGCTTTCTCTACGGCTTTGGCTGGCTACTGCTGACGATGACATCGGTGCCGTTGGTTGGCCTGTCCACGACAGCTTTGTGAGTAACAGTCGGCCAGTCTTTAATTTTGTTTGCCGTTATACATGGATCATTTCACTTACAGTTTGTTGGTCTCGATCTCCTTCATAGCTGTGGGAAATGGATCTGTGCGCGCCTGCATCACATCGCTGGGTGCGCTGCAGTTCAAGCTGCCGGAGCAGGCTGTCCATTTGGCCGAGTACTTCTCCTTCTATTACTTCGTCTATTATTTTGGCATATTCTTGAGCAAAATTGTCCCGCCGCTGATAAGAGCCAATACGCAGTGCTTCGATAAGACGACATGCTATCCAGCTGTGTTTGGCACGCTAGGCAGCTCCTTCATGGTGGCATGGAGTAAGTAGTTGGCGTATTCGTATCTCTATAGCTCAGCTCTCAACTTGTGTACCTATGCCCTTTCTAGTCATATTTTTGATTGGCAAATGCTTTTACAAAAAGGAAAAACTATTCGGGGACAATATACTCTTCAAGTACTGTGGCTGCATCAAGACGGCACTGGTCGAGAAGTGGAAACATCGCAGATCCGCCAAGCGATGTAGCTATTGGCTGCACAATGCCATTGGGCCATACGACGTGAATTTTGTGAATGATGTATCCAAGGTGTTGCGTGTAAGTAGAAGGCGATGTCAGTTCTTCCTCTGATGATTCACCCTTGTCTATATATAATCTTTGTAGATCACCAAGTTGTTCATTCCATTGCCCGTTTACTTTGCGCTGCTCGCACAGCAGGACTCCAGCTGGACCTTCCAGGCAACCATGATGAATACAACAGTGCTAGGCATCAAAATTGAGCCGGATCAAGCTAAAGCCGTGGGCCCGATCTTCCTCTTCATGCTCATTCCTCTTTGGCAATATGTGACCGTTCCACTTTTGCGGCGACTGTTCCATTGGGAGCTGAAGCCGCTGCACAGCGTCACCCTCGGCGGCATATGTTCAGCTGCTGCCTTTCTCTGCGCCGGCATTCTACAAGATCGCATCATGGTAGGTGCACTACGAGCAGAACACATCAAGCATTAAATATTGTTTTTCCTTTTTCTTATAGCAATCGCCTGGTCAGAGCATCAACATTGTCTGGCAGCTCCCTCAGTTCCTGCTGCTTATGATGGGCGAATTGCTGTTGTCCATTCCGGGCCTGCAGTTTGCCTTCACCCAGGCGCCGTCATCCATGAAATCTGTGGTCACAGCCGCTTGGTTCTTAAACAATGCCTTTGGCAATCTTATCGTGGTGATAATTACTCAACTTGATGCTATGAGTTCCCAAAAGGCCGAGTATCTGTTCTATGCCGTGCTAATGCTAATCTGCATTATCATTTTCACCCTGCTGGCCTACGAGTATGGACTGCAGGAGCTCAAGAGCGATATGCAGGCAAGAGATTTGGTTGTTCTGCTGCCCAATGCGACCGACAATGGTCCCAGCCCCAGTAGCCGGAGCGGAAGTGTGTAGTTATGTCTGAAAAAATGTATTTAAAAGTATAGTTGATTTGCTTTTCAATTTGTGGAATAGGTATTTAAATATAATTACTTTTAATTTATTTACACACACACACACGTACACCTAGGTCGAATGACAAATAAAAAAAAACTGAACAATATAGGGAATTGGGATCACTCTAGAATCTTGAACATATACTGCAGTTCAAGGTTTGTATCATCGCTCAGATCGGTGCAGTGAATGCCATTCAGCACCTTGGAGCTGCCGAACTTGGAGCGCAGTGTATGTGGACGCAATAGCTTGGCAATTTCTGGATCCATTGGACCACAAAAGTTGCGGAATTCCTGGTGCGAGTTCTTCTCTGGATCCTCGCAAGCGACTTCCAGACACATGCATACACCGCTTGCCAGCTGAGCCACCATGGGTATAAATTCTGGCAGTACACCGCGGTAGACTTCATAGAATTCCTCACAATTGACTCGCGCCATGAGCAGCATGCGCATGGCTGTTACCTTAAAGCCAGACGATAGGATCTCCTTGAGAATTTGACCCAGAAGCCCGTCCTTGATTATGTGAGGCTTTATAATGGCCAGTGTGGTGTTTTTGAACTGACAGTCCTTGATAATATTGTGACGTTCCTCAAAAAAGAACTTTAAGTCCTTGCCCACATTCTCTTCGCGTTGGGAGCAATAGATACCATAGCGAACATCCTCGCGGTCAAACAGATGCTGCAGGCTGGGCGACAACACGATGGTGGTTGAAGCCTTCTCTGTATTGTACTTTGAACAGGCATATATAATCTCCACCACATTATCGCCTATGAGCTCCAAGCTAATAGCCGGTCCAGCCAGTAGCTCGTTCATCAAGACGCTGTGAGGCAGAATTAAAGTTAAATATATTTTACTTTACCGGTATTTAAAAAAAAAAACTTACGATGTCTGCACATCCTCGTCCTGTTTGCTGGACAAAAACTGCGTCACAGTGGTCGGCGTAAACTGAACCATTTGGCCGTTGTTGATGTTGATCTTGTTGTCAATGAGCGTTGTGACAAACTCACCCAAGTACTTTGGCCACATGGAGCTCTTTAGGAGCACAAAGCCCCTGTAAAAAATCGTTTGGTTAAGACAAGCTGTACTGAAAATTTCTATTGACTTACCGCTTCCGATATTTGGCCAACGTATTCCGTGATATCTCGTCCGCATAGTCGACAATATCAAAGGGTCGCCCAAACACGTTGATTTTTGAGCCCACAAAGAAATCGCGCGGCGTTAACTCGGGAATTTTGGTGCGTCGCAAGAAGGTTTTCTTACTGCGCTGATCATACTGCGTAATGCAAACAAAAATAAAATTAATTTCACCTGAATTACAAGGCAATAATCAACTTACCAATTCAACGGCATTGTCGCTCAGATAGTATGTTAATAAGTAACTGCGTGTTATTCCAGCTTCAACATGAAACCATTCGGCTATAAACGAAAGTCTACCATTCTGTGCCATTATATATTTACTTTATATAATTACTATCCATACGCAATCTGTATTTTTTGCTACTGACAGCAGCTGAAAGTTGATTTTTTTTACTAAGCATTTTTTGTTTGCCCAAACAAAATTTGAAAGCCGGCGTTGCCAAAGCAACGGTGTTGATGGAGTTGCCAGACATTTGCCCTTTTAGTGATCGCAACTCGACGTATGTACGTACAAACATATACATATAGATATGTACTATGTGCGAAGCAAACCATGGAAACAAAACAAGTTAAACATTAAGATTTTTATATTTTATTTTAATTCCCTTTATTTACAGGAAACAAAAAATAATAAATTGCAAATGAAACTTCGCAATGAATTGGTTGTAGCTTTTTCCATTTTTAGTTATTGGGATGAAAATCCAGCGTAAAATTAAATTTTGTTCCTTGATTCTGCTGACATGCCGCATTTACTGCACTACTGTTTTCGAACTCATGATTGTGTTTGTGTGTGTGTGTATGTGTGACTTAACGGTATAGGGGTCTCGGCTAATGCTACGACTCTATTACTTCAGAAATGCCCGAACAGCAAGCTCCTTAGGCAGCTGGCTTCTTGTCTTTGTCGCCCTCCCCGCCTTCGTCCTCGTCTTCGTTTTGCGATAGACTGGGTATGCAATCGTCGGAGTCGTCATCCTCGTCGACATTGAAATCATCAAATTTGTTGTTCCAATCGCCTCCCGGACTGTTTAAGAAGTTGCTAAACATTCCGTTGTCCTTAGCATCTGAAAAAAAGAGTATATATATTGAATTTCATCAATAAACTTTGAAGATTCCCATGCTCACCACCACCATCTTCTTCGTCAGACTCATCGCGCCACTTGGCAAAGTTGGCCTTCAAGAAGTGCAATTTGGTCTTATCTGTGGTCAGTGTTGGCCAGTATGGACCATTCTCCTTCTTGGGTATTGTGAATTCCAAGCAGCGTCCAATATTCTTGCTAGTCACCTTCTCCGGATCAACCGAATTGTAGAAGTTCAATGTGACCTCGTACTTTTTGGAGGCGTCAAGTGCATTTACACCCTTGAAAGTGAAGGTCTTTTCTGTCACTCTATAATGCGAAAACAATAGCATCAAACGTAAACTTATTTTGTTTGTCAAAGGAAATAGGAGAGCTTACTTGTGTTCAATGTCTTTGCATTCCACATCGATGATAACATAAATCAAATCGCTGCGCTGAGCCCAGGAAACTGGCGGCGGAATCGAGCTGAAATCGAAACCAAATGCTTAAATAAACAAACAAACCGGGAACTGAGGAACACCGCTTGGCAACGCGTATTGTATTTATCGTATCATGGCAACCGGGGTATCGTTCCCTTCAGCAGCCACTCCAAAGTACAAGCCTATGCAAACATTATAGCTGATTTGCATGAAATAAAAGTCCATCTCGTATAAATTTGACCATTGGGGCAACACTTAGAAACAAAATTAACGCCAACCCTAACATAACCTCAAACGCAATGAGTTTGATGGCACTGCCGCGAACTATATAAAAATACTACAATGCAGTTGCGCATTGGACACACCCACCAAATGACTCTGGGGGCTGAAACATACTTCAGATGCAAGTGGGATAGTGTGCATCTATCGGAAAATAATATATTCTTGGCAATGCCCTTTGCAGAAAATAGACGCCGCCGATGCCCCTTCCACAGCAAAAAGCACGCGTCCCACAAAGAAGCCACAAAAAGAAGAATTCTCCAACTGAGGCAACTAAATTGAGAGGGTGTGAGAATGTTTTCACTTCACTTACCTTGCTGTCGACATTTTATTGTTGTTGCGTTAGCTATATTTGAATTTACTAAGCCGCGGTCACTGCTCGCACGTCTATTTTCAGCAGAAAATGCAATTTTCAACCGAATTGTCGGACACAAAATGAGAATGACTACTCACTCAGTAAATCACACAGTGTTCGAGAACGTTCATCCAATGGACTGACAGTAAATTCATTACCCAGCACTGTGACGATAACACAAGCAAATCGGATACGTGTATTCGATTTTCTCAGCTATTCTGGTCAACACTGACGATTCTGTCATCTGTGTGAAAAAATAGCAAGAGCAAGAGTGTAAAGTGAGTCGAAGCTGTTACTTAACCAAATTTTTGGAAATTAAATTATTTAATTGATTTCCCCTGCACAGCAATGTTGCGCACTACTGCCGGTAAACTCGCCACCGCCTTGCGCGGCACCCTCGGAGCTACTTCCACCCGTGTTGGCGCTGTACGCTGCCTGCACGGCACCGAGGAATCGGCTGAAGAGTTCGATAAGCGTTATGAGAAATACTTCTCTCGCGAGGGCATCGACGGATGGGAGATCCGCAAAGGCATGAATGATCTGCTTGGCATGGATGTTGTGCCCAGCCCAAAGATTATTGAATCTGGACTGCGCGCCTGCCGCCGTGTCAACGACATCGCCCTGGCCATTAGGTGGCTGGAAGGCTGCAAGGACAAGTGTGGCGACCACAAGGCCACACTCTATCCATACTTGCTGGAGAAAATCACACCAACCTTGAAGGAGCTTGGTGTGCCGACCATCGAGGAGCTGGGCTACGACAAGCCCGAATTGGCTCTTAAGTCCGTTTTTGATATGTAAGGCGGCGTTTGTTTCAACGTTTTCCTTTAGTTTAATTAACACATAACAAGAAACACAACACAATTCCAATGTATTTCGTGTGGATGAACATGTTATTGGATTGCAAATAAAAGGAGATTGGAGTAAGGCTACGACCCAAACATTTGTTTTGCTTTTTGGTTATGTAATGGTCGGCGAAAGGTTATGACTCTTGCGTGCACGTTCAAACATGCATGATGACCAATGAATCGTGCCTAGGCTTTCAAAACAAATTCGTTTATTGGCATAACAAATAAATGCATAGTTGTACTATAAACACAGTTTAGTTCAATTTCTTGAGCAACTCAGCTGCCTTGTCTAGATTCGCTTGTTTTTTTATGAAGCAATATCGCACAAAGTCCTCCCCCAAGTGTTTATTGGGCTCGCTGTAAAAGGCGCTGGGCGGTATGCCTTGCAGACCCATATTTTTTGTCATCCACTTGGTGAATTTATAGTCGCGATACTTGTCCACCTCGGAGCTCAAGTCGAGCTTCGATGCCAACGGCGACCAATCAGCTACCATAAAGTAGCCACCCTCTGGTATTGTGGGTCGCAGGCCCGCATCGCTCAGAAACTTGGCCATAAAATCTCTCTTGGGCTGCAGCTCGCGGGGCAGGGAGAGAAAATAGCTTTCTGGCTTTCCCAGTCGTGCCAATTCCACCTCAAAGCTGCGCGCCACGCCCTCTTGCAGTGGTGTCGGGCACGTGTAAACCGAGTTCTGATGAACCATTTGCAAGTTTCTAATCAGGTGATGCGGTCCATAGGCCCAGCCAATTTTCCAGCCAGTTACCGAAAAGGTTTTACCTGCCGAACCAATCGTAATCGTGCGATCCCACATTCCAGGCAAAGTGCAAATGCGCACATGCTCGACACCATCAAAGACAAGCCACTCATAGACCTCATCCGACACGCAGAGAACATTCCACTGGCGACACAATGCGGCTATGCGCTCCAGTTCCTGGCGATGGAAGACCTTACCGATGGGATTATGCGGGGTGTTCAATATGATCATCTTTGTTTTCTCATTGAACATTTTCTCTAATTCAAGATCATCCAGGACCCAGTCGGCGGAGCTAATCGGTCCGTCTTTCTTTCGCTAAAAGAAATCATCATATTAAAGGATAAACGAATGCCTAACAGAACAGAGCTATTTGTAAACAATTATTTACCAATTTCAGTGGAATGAAACGAGGAACACCTCGGGCCATTTTGACCATGGGCTCATAACAATCGAAGAAGGGCTCAATAATAATGACCTCTTCACCCTCGTCTACATGTCCCATTATGGTGGAGTAGAGTGCCTCATAGGCGCCGGAAGTAATCAGAATATCGCTGAGCGGATTCAGCTCTTTGCCAACGAGGCCGCTATAGAGCTTGGACAGTGCCTGCACCAGGCGAACATGACCCTAAAATAAATTTCCCACATTAGACAGACTTTGGGAAGAAATGAAAGCACCTACATTTCCTCTAGTGTACTGATGCAGCAACGGGTTCTCATCCTTGGCAATATCCGCCAGCGAATTGGTGACATAGTCTGGTGCAGCATCATCCGGAAATCCTTGGCCTAGATTAAGTGGCTTGTACTGCATGGCTAATGCAATATATTCGTTCCATACGCTGGGCGTGCTGCCCTGAAGGCGCTTGGGTAGATCAAATTTTTCCATGCTGCTGTTGGCAGCTGCGCTTACCTTATGAATGTGTCGGAGTCGCTGACTGAAGCAGTTTAGATATAAGGTGTGCCGAGTCAGAGCGCACACACGTTGACAGTTCTTGAGCATCTGAAGTAGAGACGATTTAGCGGAAAATACTAGTTATAAAACTGCGTATATTTGTATACACATGTATATGTTTATATGTACTTTATGTGTGTGCGTGAATGTGGGCTACTTCGAAGAAATTAATTCAATATTAACGTAGTTTAACGTAGCAAAAATTTGTTAGCGCGCTGGGTTTAATGCTTAGCTGTATGACATTGCATAATGCAAATAAGGAACACAGAGCTAAGGCAATTTTGAACGACGTAAAATGAAAAACTAATTGTTTATATACTTATACTCATACTCATACACACACACATACACCAACTAACACCGCGTCGCTCTCATGCAAATCACACTGATTTTATAATTCAGTTGTAGATAGACAGAATAGCATATGTATAGTATTGAAGTAAATATTATCTTTATTTACAATAAAAAATTACCAGAAACAGCGGCTTATCAGTGCAAAACTTGCCGTTGCTTGAAGCCGTCTGCGCTCAAACAGCTGTTGCTATCATTGTTGCCCAGCACTGTTACCAGGGATGCATATATCAATTATAGCGCGCGCATTTGAAAAAATAAAATAAAAATACTTGGTAGATGAAAATAGATGTAATTGGTAGATAGGCATTTTATATCTAAGAAAAACAGACAACTTTAAATCTTTTTTTTTTATAATTTTAATTAAGTTCTTGTCTTATAATGACAAACATATATGTAAATAAATCCACATAGGCATGCAATAAGGTAACTCATCTATTTTCGTATTTCCATTTATTCAACGGCGTGAATTACTTAAATTACAGATTATACAGATTATATAATATGCTTCCATTAAAGTTAATCAGTCGATATTTTTCCAATTAGTCCTTACCTTGCTTTCTTGCCTTGCAAGATTCTGTTAGCATACAAACTTGAGCTGGTTCCTACTTTGTAACGATTGCGTGAAAACACCCACATTCATTTTGGATTCAATTTGAATGAAAGACAGCTTGGTATTATTTTTAAAGTTTATTTATAAAAACTGTGTGTTAATTACAGGAAAATTAAAGTGCGCATCAATTCAAAGTACAATTTAAATGATTAATAACATTTAAAAGTAGTTTAAACATAAGTGTAAGTAGTATAAATGTATGTATATGTATTTAAGTACGTCATATGTTATACAGGTTGAAGTTTTTATATGCATCAAATTTCGTTTGCTTGCGTTTTAACAAAGTAAAGCTACTAAACTTAAATCACAGATTACACTAACGTGTTTGTTACAATATAAATGTATATGTATATTTATGTATGCGTGTATGTCTATGTATGGTAAGTACATATGTATGTTATTACTATATTCATATGTGGGGGGGGGGGGGGGGGGGGGGGGCGGTCCACAGAAATCATCGAACGCATAACAACAGTTAAGGCTTAATGCTACTTAGAAAATCGCTAACATTATTGCTGTAATGCGTGTAATCAATCAACGTTGTTACATTTTAGTTCTACTATTACCTTAAATGCAACAATTCACTTATGTACTATCAAACAATAGGTTTGTGAGTGCTTATATTGTTTTTAAATACAGTTAACTGAATAGGGTTTCTACAAAAGGTTTGGGCTGGTTGTTGTTTTTTATTTCTCCGTTTCCTCCTTTTTTAGACGTCGTTCTCTGTGAATGGCACACATTTGCGCTATGCGAATGGCAAAATAAAAGTAAATTGGTAATCAAACGAAACTGTACTTAGTTCTGTTGCTACTGTTTGATATGGACGTGTGGGTGGGATTTGCAGTTGGGCTTAGACATGAACCTCCGGGCAATCCTCATCCTTGATTGACGTGTACTGCACTTTCTTGGCCACGTTGTCGAACACGGGAGTCATCATGTACTTCAATTTGTCGCGACTGACATAGACGAGGGCCACCAGCAGACCCAGCAGAATCATGCTGAGCACGATCAGCAGAAAGATCAGTGTGGCCGTGTGGCCACTGATATGCGGCTGGAGTTGCCCGTACAGCTGCTCGTTCTCGGCGATATTCAGAAACGAGGCAGCCGCCGCCATTGTGGCTGCACACTCGCCCATGTCCAGCTGGAGGATGTGCGCCGGCGCCGGATCAACATGTTGCAGTCCATGGAAGCACATGAGGCTTTCCTGATTGCGCACCTGGACTCGAGTCGCCTGCAGCCACGTGCGGAATGGGGATATTTTGCAGTCGCAGACAAAGGGATTCAGATTGAAGTCGACGATCAGATTGACGGTGCGATTCTCGCGTTCCTGCAGCTCGTTGAGCAGGCGCATATCGCTCGGCTTGACAAACTCAAACTTGTTCCGCTCCAGATCCAGAAAACGCAGATTGTTCAGGCAACGCACCTCAAAGTTAATGTCCTTCAGGAGATTGTCACCCAAATGCAAATCGCGGAGCGCTGGCAGATCACAAAAAACGTTGCGATCCTTGAAGTGCGTTATCTCGTTCTGCTCCAGGTGCAGCTTCTCCAGCTTAACAAGCTGGCTGTTCACGAAAATATCGTGCAGATCCTCGCTCAGTTGCGGCGAGCTGTGATCCTCAAAGGCGTCGGTCAGATGCAGACTTTGCAGGTTGACAAAGTTGGAGAAGACGCGCGGATGATGATGATTCACCTCGTCGTCGTAGCGGGAAATGCTCAGATTGTTGTGGTTCAGGATGAGGCGTTCAACGCGTGGCACGTGGTGATAGCTCTTACCACGTATCTCGCGTATGTGATTGTTGCTCATGTCCACGATCTTCAGCTGCTTGTAATCATTGATGCTGCCAAAGACGTTCCATGGCAGCTCCGTTATATAGTTTCCCGTAAAGATCAGGATCTCGACCTGCTCGGGCATGTACTCCAGCACGCTGGTGTTGTGCAGGCCCGCGTTGGTGCAGTTCACAATGAACTGGACGGCGCCCTCGTACATCTCGTTGCCGCAGGAGCAGGCAACCGGAAAGTTGGGTCCACAGCTCGAGGAGCTCTCGGCATTGCCCAGCGACAGGGCTGCGCTAATGGCCACTAAGGTCACAAGCAGCACTTGCGGCTTCATCTGCGGTTCGTTGGCCATCTCGCACCAGCCTGACGACACGGAGCTGCAATTAATAGTAGAGTGCAGATGTTTTATTAGTTGCGAACGCATTTTAAAGTGAGCTGAAAACCAACCAAGAGCCAGCCGCAAAATGCAGCTCTCACATGCCGGCTAGTTTATGCTAGGCAAGTTGCAGATTTATGAGTATGAAAGGCTAAACATGGTGCAGCATTCTCTTCATGCCCTCCCCCCGTGTCTCGCTCTCCCTCCCTCCCTCTCTCTCTCTCTCTTTTGCTGTCTGCGGCAGCTAACCACAACCGCTCTGCCAATCAACGGCACCCACGGCGTATGGGTAATTTCTGTTTAGTGCCAAAGTTTTTGGTAACGCCAACCACAATAAACGCCAAAAGGGCACTCAAGCGAACTGACGAGGCGCCCACATAAAATTCGACCCACCACCCATCCACCCCATCCGCCCACCAGCAGCACCTGTCCTGCGCCCTCACCGCTCGTTCAACCGCAGGCAGCAGTAAACCTTATTATTTTTTGGCTTTTATTGCTATTTGTTTAGCATCGACAAGAGGCAAAACCAGCCACAGAAGTGGCCAAAATACATTTTTAAGGCTTAAGCAAAATAATCAATGCGCTTACGACGAAGGACTCTTAAACTTTGCCAACAAACAAATGCAAGAATTACAACAAATGAAAGAGCCTTTGTACAGGTAATTTCCAGTTCGGACACAAAAGCAACAATTTGCTACCTAATTTCTGTTCATGTACCTACATACATATATGTATGTATATGTATTTATATATGTATTTGTAGCTTGTTGGGTTAAGCGTGTCGCTTATGCTCCCAAAATGTATTGTGTTTCATTTATTAGGTAAATCCATTTTGATTTCCATTTAAATTTGACGTTCCTGTTAATATTTAATAGGGCACATATAAATTTCATATTCACTTAACATACATAATTAAATAGAATATCATGCTAAGTATATCTTAGCAAAAACGTCATTTGGGTGTGAATTTTAAATAACTAATATGAAATAATAAATGTTTCAAAATTAAGTGAATGGCGAATTTGTTTTGTAATTTTGAATTTAATCTGCTTTCGAGAGAAATAAATGATTTTATTATGATTCACGTGAAATCGAAAACTAAATTTATTTAATATAATAACAAAAGGTTCTGACTATTGAACTAAACTAAATATCTAAAATAAACTGATTATATAAGAATATTGATAGATATATGAAAATATACCAGTACAACTTTATTTAGTTTTCATGTATAACGATTTAAAGTAGTTTTGCCATATTTCAGTTAATGGGTTTAATGTACGCCTGCTAAAAAGATTATTCACTCTCACCCTCCCTCCCACTATCTCTAATAGATCACCGCATTTTGTGGTTACTGCTAAATGAGTCAATTAAGAGCTGTCCCATTCCCATTCCTGTTGTTTGATTGTAGCTGCCATGGGGCCTCGCTTCCAGCTGTGACCAGGGGTCATCCAATGCTAATGAGCGCTTCGAATACCTTCGACCCTAAATTGAAAGCTAACGGAAATTTAATGGCCTCCATTCTCATCTCAGTGTGCCAATTATCGCAGCTGGCAAATACGTTTGACACTTTGATGTGGAGGGAGAGAGAAAAAAAAATAAAAATAATAAAGAGAGCTTAAAAAGCACAAGGAAGCGAAGAAGCATAGCAGTGAAGCGTGTGTTAGTTTGACGTTAACCAACACTGCCAGCAGCCACAGCTCTTGTTTCCTTTGCTGCGCACCTGCATTTCGTTATTGTTGTGTGGAGGAACCAGCAAAGCATAAACGCTATTTTATGCCCAAAACAAAGCATGAGAAGAAGTGAAAAAAATGAAAACATTTTGTAAAGCCAAAAACAAAATGGCGGACGGGGGCGCGCACTTGAAGTCAAGCGTTTGCTGTGTTTGTGTGTGTGTGTGTTGCATGTGCAAAAGAGTGAATGAGTGTGTGTCACTTCCTGTTTGGCTGCCTAACAAGCCAGAACACTAATGCGAGCACACACACATACACACACACACACATACATACACACGGAACACACAATCATCCATGCAGTTGCACATACTTAAAATTTAACTCGCGCGTGTTTCTTGTTACTTTGCAACGTGTTCAAGGGGCTACATTTCTGTGTGTGTGTGTGTGTGTGTGCGTGTGTGCGTGTTAACTGTTGCAATAATATTCCACTTTCTTCACTACATTGTTTTTGGTTACGTACCCCTCGTACCTAGTTGCAACACCAATAAAAAGGCAACGGGAATATTATTCTTACTTTTATTTTGGTTATTTGAAGACGTGGCAAATGTGCAGGTGTTTTTCAACACTGGCGAGCTCTCCTTGCGTACTTTATTTTTGTTTGCTGTAATTTATTCAGCTGGCTGTAATTTGTAAGTGTATTCAAAGTTCGTTAAGCTCTAGCTGATGTTTTTATATTTTGGTTGCTTTTGCATTGTTTGCATTGTTCCTTTTCTTTTTCTTTTTCTCCCTCCTCAATTTATGCATGCGCGTAAAATAATAATAATAATAACAAGAACAAGCGAATGACGCAAAAAAAAGTTAAATAAAAGTAAGTTTGGTGCTTTGCATTCGCCGTACGTTCTCTTTTATAATTCGTTAGTCGTAAAGTGCCAGGCACTTAACAGTTGCATTTGAAGCGAGACTGTGGACTGACTGAGTCCGGGTGGGCGGTATGAAGAGCACCGGGAATGCGGATGACAAGCTGGGCAAATGGCAAGTGGCAAATGCAAAGCGGAATACAGTTAGCGATAGGTGGTGGGCACTCAATTTGCAGCACGCGATGGCAGGAGGGTCGCGGGGACGTGCGGTATAATTAGAGCATAAATGCAGAGTGAATCAGCTAAGCAGCGTACGGAGGCAACTGGAGCGATAGTAGTGGCTAGGTTATACAACGGTCGTAGATAAGGCACACACACACACACACACACACACACGTGTGCCTCTCGCAAACCGTGCACTACAATTATAATTCTCTGAGTGAGTGCTCAGAGATGCAACTCATGCGGGATGCAGACATTCTCTTCAAATTCCTGATTAGATTTTCGCAACAATAATTCCACTAATTGCCTCACGAGATGGGATTGATGAACATGGATGCATACATTTTCGTACATTTGAATTGTTCTTCTTCGATATTCAGATTTCTTTTTATTATTTACTGAGCATTGGCAGCACAATCAGTTGCCTACTTTCTTGAACAAGGGATGGAGTGAGCCAAGTCACGTCTCCGTTGGCCAGTGTTGCAAATCGCTCTAAAATTGTAACTGCAAGCTTTAATCCGCTTGGCAACGTTTTGGAGTCGCTGTTGCCAACTGCATTAGACTCAATTGTTGGAAGTACGGAGAAGCTAATGCGGCCAAGTAGCGTTTAATGTCTTGGCGCTGCAGTCATTAAGCGAAAAACAAAAGTTGAAAAAACTTTTTGGCCACGTTGGCAGCGAGCAGGCACAGATGCCGGCCAGCTTCTGTGTTGCCTTAATATAAATTACGCGGCCATGGGACGCATGCGTGTGGTGTGGCGTCCTTTAGGTGGATAGGCTCGATACGGTTTTGTCAGAGTAATGCAATAAGGACAGGTCCTTTGAAATGCAATTAAATGCGACTGCAGTCGCCGGCAAGCCGCATGTAACTCAATTAGTGAAGTTGCGCACAGGATACAGCCATGTCCACGTCCACGTTCACATCCACATTCACGTGCACGTCCATGTTCAGGAAACTCTGTCTGAGTGGTTTCAAGGAACGTCTGTTACGTCTGCTTCGTCTGGTACGTCTGTGCCCCGCGGTCCTCCGCCTTTTCACGTCCACTGGCCGCAACACAAAATTGGCGCACGTTGGCTTCATCATTTTATTATGACTGCACCGCGTGAAGTAAAAATTACGAGACAGCGCGCATGGAGTCGCCCAGTCCGGTGTCAAGTTGTGTGCCTCACGTAGTGCCGTGGGCGTGGTCCACGTTCCATCGCGCTCGGTCCGTTTAGACTAATTAGCAGACTGCTAATTGCACTTGAATGCCGGAATAAAAATAACTGGAAGCGCGGCCACTCGACCACTTGGGCACTGCGACTGCGGCTGCGAAGTGTTTTGTGGGTCCCTTCTCCCGTTTTGTGTCTGGCAAAGTTTTCGCACGCAGTTCGCACCAAAAAAGCTGTAAAGAAATTAGCCAAGGTGCGGCAATGTGTGTGTGGCTTGTGGTCTTTGAAAGAATTGGGTTGAAAGTGATAAAGGCAGCGCCTCCAAGATTATGTTATAGCCCGGAGCGAGCTGATGAATTGGGCTGCTGCTGCAAGCCAGGAGTTTATGAGTGCCAGGTGGATGGAAAAGTTCAGATGAATTTATGGGTTAGTTTATGTGGGCCATGTGTGGACGGATTGTGCGCTTTATGTGGAGTGTGTCGGAAGGGAAACATATTGCCTGAGTGAAATAAAAATCTAAAAGGTGAGCTGGAAAATTATGTGAATTTCATGCAGATTATATATTCAAGAGAAATATCTAACTGAAGGATGCTTTGCGGACTGTGAGTGGCATGTGGATTTGATACGCAATAAGCCAAAAGCTCACGCAATAAAAGGCAATACAATTTGAAATCGAGTATTGCCACACATAGTCCATGCACGTACCACTTATTGAGCCATAAAAGCATCGTTTAGTGCATCCTCGTTTTAAATGCTCTGGGGGGAGGGAGCGGATTGCTCGATTCTCAATTGCCCATTCACCTGCACAGGTGGGAAGTGAAGCAACTCACGCCTTTAAAGCGCAAATCGAATTCAAATTGATAATTGGAATAAAGCGCTTGAAACACAAAAACCATGCAGCACGCAGTAACATTCTCGATTTATGTACATATGTATGTATGGATGCTTTCCAAGTGCCACTGCACGTGCTGCCCGACAAAGGAAAAAAGAAGAGCGGACGAAGCAACATTTGCAATCCTTTTTTGACTACAGCCGACAGCTGTCAGTTGCGATCCATGACGAGAGTTTTTACATCACGCTCCGAGGGACTGCGAA